AAAAAAAAAAAAAAAATGAGCTCAAACATAGCTCAGATTATGAAGATGGTGCAGGACCAGGCAGTGTTTTGTTTTGTTGCACACAGGGCCACCGTGAGTTGGAACCAACTCAACAGCACCTAACAACAACAGCATACACAAGTTGGGTTGGATACATACAATTTAGAGCTGAAAATAACCTTAACAGTCACCTAGTTCAGTGGTATTTAAATTTTAGTGTACATCAGAATTACCCAAAGAACTTGGAAACACGCAGATTTCTGAGACTTACCTCCAGAGTTTAAGACTCACTAGGTGTGGGATGGTGCCCAAATATCTGTATTTTAAATACTATCACACATACTTTCTTTTCCATACTGCACCTACCCCTTAGCAAACACACACACACACACTCCAGGAGATTCTGATGCAAATGATCCATGCATCTTTTAGAAACAGTAAAAGAAACACCAACTTTTGAAAACAATCCAGTATCCTCACTTAGAAGTCCCTGGGTAGTGCGAACAGTTAAGCACTTGACCACTAGCCAAAAAGTTTGCAGTTTGAACACACCCAGAGGTGCCTCGGAAGTCAGGCCTGGTGATCTGCTTCCGAAAGGTCACAGCCTTGAAAACCCTATGGAGAACTACTACTCTATTAGCATACCCATACCATTTAACTGTCAGCTGTAATAAGCTCAGAATTACTATAAAGAAGCACCTATTTTTGACAGAGGTCCAAGAAATGAAAGCTTCCTGATATCTTTTAGGCAATGCATTCCCATTTGCTAACCTCTTTGTAAAAGAAGTAAACTCTGCTGTTTTCTCGCTGGTTGGATTCCAGATCCTTTCAGTCCTCTTTCAGTGCACTCACCTCTTTCAAATACCCAGTAAGTTCATTTAGTCCTAAGCCTTTCAGAAATAGCCAAATAAAGTAACTCACTTGGTCAACAAATATTTATTGAGCATTTTCTATAAGCACAACACTATAAATTGATTTTGGATATAATTTCTTCTGGGATTATTTGCATTTTAAAAGATCAATGAATTTTTAATGACAGAATTTCAAGCACCATTCAAAAAACATACTGGAACCAAAGATTCACTAGTGTTTTTCAAATCATTTGTTGTTATATACCGTTGAGTCAGACCCAACTCATAGCGAACCCTCCTTGGGTTTCCGAGGCAGTATCACTATGGAAGTAGGATTGCCCAACCTTCCTTCTGAGAAGTGGCTGATGGGTTTGAACCACCAGCCTTCTGGTTAGCAGTCAAGTGCCTTAGGCACTACGCTACCAGAGCTCCCTTTCAAATCATACTGTACTCAATTTCCTAAAACACCAACCTATAAAGTTAGTCATTATAGAACACAGGAGTAAATAGGTCTGGACAAATAGGAAGAGTTGAATATAGGGGAAATTAGTGTTTTTTTTTTCTTTTTGGGCAAACACTTAGCTATTTTAATCTGTCAGATCACCTTAAAATGTGCTGCTTTCTTTGAAGTTTAATCATACCCATGTTTTAAAACTTCCCTATTGGAGTGTGAAGTTCCAGTCCCTGACGTTAACTAGCTGTGTCAATTGTTAGCTGCTGTCAAGTAGACTCCAACTCACGGCACCCTACTCACAACAGAAGGAAACACTGACCAGCCCTGTGTCATCCTCATGTTGGTTGTGAATTGGTCTGTCGTGATTCGTAGGGTCTCACTGGCTGACTTTTGGCCACAGAATGCCAGGCCTTTCCTCCTAGTCCATCTTAGTCTGGAAGCTCTGCTGAAAATGATTCAGCATTGTAATAATATACAAGTATCCACTGACACACAGGTGGTGGTTACACATGAGATGCACTGGCCAGGATCGAACCCAGTCTCCTGCTTACAAGGTGAGAATTCTACTGATCCATCATCACCCCCACAACTAACTATGTAGCCTTGACTAAGTCACTTGACCAGGCTGAGTCAGTTTTACCTATAAAACAACAACAATGCTATGTGATATGGAGGAAGAAAGGGGAACAAAACCTTAATGTAACAGAGAAAAAGTTGAGACCCCTGTAGTTTTGCTTGAAAGCAGAGATACCTTTCCATAAGGGCAGGCCTATATCTGTCTTGGTCTCCTCTGTAACCCAGCACCTAACATAATAGCAGACAATAGTTGATACCAGTAAATATTTTTTTAACTGGATTCAATATGGTGGCATTAACCTAGGCCTTCCTTGACTAGGACAGCACCCTTCCATACCCTATAAAGTTCTGTATAGATTATATACATATATATGAACATGCTTTTTAGCATTAAGTTCTCATTAAATGAATTGCTCTTTAAGAAAATTCCCACATTTCTTAACTTCCAAACTTACCCTGGTACATCACAGGAACAGTGCCAGAAAAATTCAGCAGGTCTTTCTGGGAACTATCTTTAAAAACTGGAGAGAAAAAAAGCCCCAAAACATGCGATCAGAAGTAGAGAAAACTGTATTAAAACAGACACAACACACATATACACAATTTCTAAAAACCATCATCCAGGGATGAACAACTACATTGTCAAGGGGAAATTACTAGATGGTGTTTTCTTAAAGGTGGAGGAGTATAGCTGAAAGAATATGGGATTTAGATACAAAATCCCAAGTTCTAGGCCCACCATCCCAGTTAGAAGCGTGTGACTTTTGACACTTTAATCTCTTTGACTTTCAGTTTTCCCATCAATAAAATAATATTAAGACAGCTTCACAAAGATTTCATAAGGATAAAAAGAGATCATTAATGTGAAAATATTTAATAAATAGAGTATTATAATACGTGATGCTACTATTAAATAATCGTCACATGTAACAAACAGCTATCATCTCTTTCAAAAATCAGATTAAAACTTTTATAATAAAAAAGTTAGCTTATCTTTTAAAGCAACTCTTAGAAAGATAAATAATTATCTTCTTCAGGTTTTCTAACCCAATTATTCTCAAACTCTTTTAACCTTTACTACCCTGAAAATTCAACTTTCCCACACTGGTGGAGAATCAAGGGCCTAATCTCCAGACTGAAATACAAAAACATGACCTCTGGTTTCAAACTATCCAAAAAGAATGCTAGTACTTTTAGTAACCTCAGATACATCATTTGAGCAGAGGAAGAAAAAGTTCTAAATAGATTTGATCACCTATTAGAAAGGCCAAAGACAAAACCAGGCTGAGATAGAAAACTCAAGACCAAGACTGTACTCAAGCACAAATATTTACGATAAGCTATTCGAGTGAAAGGTAACCACAATAGGTGAAGGAAACACTCCATGGAAAAAAGTAAAATGGGTGGAAGAATGGAGATAGGATTGCTACTCAGGGGAACAAAACAATCTAGGAATGTGGCAGAGAAACTGTGACTATTCATTGTCCAAATCATTCAAAAAGCTAAAATAGAATTATGATGCATGCCTATCATTGTTTTCAATAGTAAGATGTGCACTGATGTGATACTTAAGATTATGTGTCATCTTGGTTGGGCCTGGTTTTGAGTTGCTGGGCAGCTGAATGTAGTTATTCCCCATGATGAGACTGGTAATCAACTCCATGATGGAATCTACTGTGAGAAGCTGAGTAGCTGCCTTAGGGATGTAGTCTGCTTCCAGTACATAAGCAGCAGCATTGAGAAAGGTCTCTGCAGCTTTTTGGTACACTTGGACACTGCATGTAGCTGAGTCTTCATTCAGCAGCCTGACATGTTCATGCCTATCTTGGGACTATTTCTGGACTTGAACTAGTGGCCTGTGATATTGCACAATAATCTTAAAAAAACCAAACTCACTGCTGCCGAGTCAGATCCGACTCCTAGTGACCTGTCCTTGGGTTTCCAAGGTGGTAGGTGGTATCACTACAGAAATAGATTGCCCAACTTTCTTTCAGAGGAGTGTCTGGTGGGTTTGAACTGCCAGCCTTCTGGTTAGCAGTCAAATGCCTTAGGCACTACGCCACCAGAGCTCCCATAATAATCTTGGGACTATGCCATTTTATTTGTCAACCTTGGGTTTGTCAGCATCAGCAGCTAGCAGCTGCCTGAGTTAAAAGAAGCCTCCAGCTTCAGTGGGCAGGGAGAAAGAAGCAAAGCTGAAGCCCAAGGTCAAGGGGCCTTCACCCAGCCTCTAGAGCTGGCACTTTGAACTTGGATTTCTAGCCTCCCAAATTGAAAGAGAATAAATCTCTGTTTATTAAAGTCACTAGTATTTCCTGTTAAAGTGGCACTAGATAACCGAAACAACTGACAATATTAATTCTGTAATCTGAAGGTTTAATGGCACCAGAGACACTGTCTCTAGACAAGCAGAAATAAGAATAAGAATAAAATAGTACAACAAAGCATCAAATCCATATGATGAAGAAAGACACTGTATAAGAGTCATATACCCATTATATGAGTATAATGGGTACTCAGACATGGGTACAAACCCCAACTCCTTACAGCTATGTAATACTGAGCAAATTATTTAAACTCTCTGAGCATCCATCTCTTTATTTAAAAAATGAAGATAATAATACTCCCTCAGAGATTTCATCATTAAAAAAAATATGTAAGATAATGTACATAAAACACTGGAAGCATAACTGGCATATCCAGTCACTGATAGATGAAAATCTAATAATTTACTACACATATAAAATTAGCTATTCCTAAGAAACAGTTAGCATAGTGGCTAAGACACTTGCCTGCTAACCAGACGGGTGGTGGTTCAAATCCACCAGCCACTCCTCGGAAGGAAGGTTGGGCAATCCTACTTCTGTAGTGATACTGCCTCAGAAACCCAAGGAGGGGTCGCTATGAGTCGGGTTTGACTCGACGGCACATAACAACAACAACAACAACAAGAAACGGTTCAATAAAAACTCAAGATTTCTGATATGTGAAACTGCATTAGATATATTTTCTTATCACAAACTAATTCAAATATAAAATGTTTCCCTGTAAAGTTTTTCAAAATTGTGTGTTTTGACTAATTCATGGATCTTGAAATCAATTTTAGTGTGATACAACCAGCATTTGTTTTAAACTGGAATAGAATACAAAATGCCAGAGTGAATATAGTATTTTACTTATGTGTATATGGAATCATGATATAAATTGTATTTCTGAGTCTAGGCTGTAGTCAGAAGTTTTTGAAAGACTGTTGTTGTTGTCATATTCCATCGAGTCGGACCCGATTCATAGCGACCCCTCCTGGGGTTGCCGTGGCAGTATCACTACGGAAGTAGATTGCCCCATCTTCCTTTCGAGGAGTGGCTGGTGGGTTTCAACACCAGCCTTCTGGTTAGCAGTCAAGTGCCTTAGGCACTACGCTACCAGAGCTCCTTTTTGAAAGATAGTAAAGTAAAATCTCTTTAGATAACCAGACCTTCTCTATTAACTGACCAAGATAACCAAAACTTTGTTAACAATTTACAGTCAATCGTATATGTGGTAAGGCTGCTAAGGAAAAGGTTGCTGGTTCAAACCCATCAGCTGTTCCACAGGAGAAAGATGAGGCAGTCTGCTTGTGTAAAGATTTATAGCCTTGGAAACCCAATGGGAATCACCAAGAATAGCATGGCAGTAAGTATGGTTTTTTGGGGATATATGGTAGGCAGAATAATGCCCCCATCCCAAGCTGCCCACACCCTAATCCTGGAAACCAGTGAATATATTATCTTACTTAGCAAAACAGACTTTTCAGATCTGATTATTTAAGGGCACTGAGATGGAGAGATTTTCTTGTATCATTCAAATGTGCTTAATTTAACCACATTCATCCCTAAAAGAAGAGGATCTTTCCAAGATGTGGTCAGAGGGAGATCTGACTACAGAAGAAAAGTAAGAGGTACAACCTTGTTGGCTTTAAAGATGCAGGAAGGAGACCACACACTAAGGAACATGACACACACCAAGGAACATGAGTGACTTCTAGAAAATGGAAAAGGCAAGAAAACAGATTCTCCCACAGAGCTTCCAGAAGAGAAAGAAAACCTGCCAACACCAAGTCAGCCCTGTCTGATTTGTAACCTACAGAAATGTAAGATAAAAAATTTATGTTGTTTTAAGTCACTTAGTTTGCAGTTGTTATAGAAACAATAGAAAACTAATACAATAAACTTAAATTTCCTCACAAAGTATAACTCAAAATCAGAGAATAGGAGAGAAATGAGAAATTATGAGTTTGCAACAATTTAGGATCTAAGAACTGAAAGCTCAAATAATGCAGAAAAACTAGAAGATAGGATGCTTACCATAGGTGTCCACAGAATATCTGAAATGTGGATAAAACATATTGACATTCTTTAGCTCTTCCACAGTTAGATCTCTGAATTTGTACTGAAAAGAGAAAAATGATCATGAAATCCAAATAAAACATGATCAATGAACAAGCAGAGTTCACACTTAACTGAACACTTACTGTGTGCTAGGCTGAGCTTTATAAACATGAAGAGTACTTGAAATAATCCTTACAAGGATGACCCTATGAGGTAGGTAAGGCTTAAAAATGAAAGCTAGAGAATCAAAGTAACTTGCTGAGTCACACAGCAAGAGGTGAAGCCAGAACTCAAACCTGGGGCCTGTGCTTAATCACTACGTCCTCCATTTTGAAGAAAAACAAATAAAAAACCCAAACCCACTGCTATTGAGTCAATTCTGACTCATAGTGACCCCATAGGGTTTCCAATGCTGTAAATCTTTATGGAAGGAGATAATCATCTTCCTCCCACAGAGTAGCTGGTGGGTTTGAACCATCAACCTTCTGGTTAGCAGCCAAATGCCTTACCCACTGCACCACCAAAGCTTTCCATTTCGAAAAGGAGTAATAAAATAAACATCCATGGAGCAAGTCACCCACTTCTAATCTAGAATAAAACAATGCTGTTCAATATACTTTCTGAAATAATGGAAATGATCTCTATCTGTGCTGCCTAATATGGTAGCCAAATGTACCTACTGAACATTGAAATGTAGCTGTGTCTGAAACTGAATTTTTTATTTTGATTAATTTAAATTTCAGTTTAAACAGCCACATGTGGCTAGTGGCCACCATATTAGACGATCCAGACCTAGGACATTTCTAGTGCCATGACATCATGCTGAGTACTCCTCCCTCCCATTCCTCTGCATCCCCTGAATTGTATAATCTTGCTTTTTTCCCCATATATATACCACATATGTGTGTATTCCTAAATAACATAATGTTTATATATTGCTTATACATTGTTTAGTATTGTTTCTGGGCTTTATCAAAATGTAACATTGTATATAATCTCCAGTTTCTTTCCACTCAATATGATTCTAAGATGTATCTATTTTATTGCACACAATAGTCCATTTTCACTGCTACATAGCACATTATATGCACATATCTGGTAGCACAGTGCCTAAGGCACTTGACTGCTAACCAGAAGGCTGCCCATTCAAAGCCACCAGCCACTCCTCAGAAGGAAGGCTGGGCAATCTACTTCCGTACTGATACTGCCTCGGCGCTATGAGTCGGATCTGACTCGACAACACATCACAAATTATCCCTCCTCCTGTCAATAACCATTTGAGTGCCTTCTGACCAGGAATCAGGTGCTAGTCATGCCCCAGAACTGTAGGTCAGACTTCTGGGTCAGATCACCCAGCAGTCACCCTTTTAACAGAAGAGGATATTTCGTCGGCCTTCAAGCCCTATTTCATTCCTAATCTACTCAAAGCTTTTCATTCACTGGAGTTACTTAGCACCTACTTTGTTGCTCTGGTGGCGTAGTGCCTAAGGCATCTGACTGCTAACCAGAAGGTTGGTGATTCAAACCCACCAGCCACTCCACGGAAGCAAGGATGGGCAATCTACTTCCGTAAAAGTCTACCACCTCAAAAACGCAATGGTGGTCGCTATGAGTCGGAATCGACTCGATGGCAGTGGGTTGGGTTTTTGTTTGGTTTGTTGCCAAGCAGAGTGATAGCTGAAGCGAATACAAAAGCAGTTTCTGACATCAAAGAATTCGCAGTAGGAATACGGTCTGCAAGTAATCACATTGTGATGACTGATATTTAGGCCAGCGAAGATGGTAGCGCGAGAGGGTACCCCACAGGGTGGACGCTGGGGGACCAACACCACCGAGACGCGGGCAGGGGGCGGAACCAGAGCCTGGACCTCAAGAGGGAAGCAGCAGACTTCAACCCCAGCCGCCTTCTAGGGGCTGCTCCCCACAGCCGGTTTAAGCCCTACGGCTGGCGTGGGAAACAGAATGAGAAGGCAGCCTGACCGGGAACGGGGACGCCCATAGGGCGTGCACGTCGCACCCCAGGCCCTGGGCCCCCAAACCCGGCCCAGCGGTCTGTCCCAACCTTGCCAAGCAACCGTCTCAGACCCTCGCAATCAAATTCCATCTTCAGCCACGTCCCGGAACCAGCTAGCACGGAGCCTTCTTCCGGACCTGCCCCAGGACGGCGGCTGCCGAGGACCAAACTTCCTCAGCAGCCCGACACCCAGCTCTGCGCTGCCCACCCCTTTCCTGCCTCAAAATTCCAAACCAAACCAGTCGCCACCCAGTGGGAGCCACTCATAGCGACCGTTCCTTGGGTTTCTGTGGCAGTATAACTAGGGAAGTAGATTGCCCAACCTTCCTTCCAAGGAGTGGCTGATAGTTTGAACCGCCAGCCTTCTGGTTAGCAGTCAAATGACACCACTAGGCCACCAGAGCTCCCTCTCGCAATTCCAATCAAGCTCATTCCCAGAGGCTCAACCGTAGCTTCTGCATGGACTCGGCCAAGGGTCAGAGCGCGGTGAGAAACGTGCTACAGGCACAGGAACCAGATACCAGGAATGAGCTGGCTAGAAGAAAACTTGAGAACATTTATGAAGAGAGAAATGGCGAAGGACCCAGTAGGAGCAGGAAAGGAGGTAGAAATAACTGGAGGCATATATCTGCTTTAGAGTGGTTGTAAGCCATTAACACACTGCAGCACCCTTTATTTACATTGCTCTCAAACAAGTAGCACATCTGGAAAGTTAAATGCCATTCTACATCCATTGTAATTTGCGAATCAAAATTTCTTTAAAAAAACACGTAAGACCTTGTTCTCTGTCCTTTGACATTCTAGTGTTGTGGGTTCAGAAGAAATTGATGACCACTATAATGTCCAGAATTTGGAAGAGTCTTTATTTAGCTATAGCCGGGCTGCAGGGAACTAAAGCGTTCTCCTCAACTGCAGTCCAGAGCCTGATTTCAGGTAGGCTTATAAAGCTTAGGACTGCAAGCAGGCAAGCAAGCATGTTACAGAGGCAATAAACTGCCAGGTTATTGTTTAGGGAAGATTAATGGTCAGCTTACTATCAGAACGGAAACACAGTCCGGAGTGAGGGTCCTCAATTCTGAGAATTTCTGTTGGCAGGATGTGGGCCCCCAATTCTGGAAATTACTATTTAGAGGGCTTTCAGGAAAAGGAAGGGGTGAGTGGGTTTCTCAGGGATGTTTGGTTCAGAAAAGGAAAAGGGGAGTGGGTTTCTCAGGGATGTTTGGTTTAGATAGCTACTGGGCTGTCTGAGAAGGGTAGGGAGAAGTAGAAATACTGTTAATGCTGGAGTGCTTGTGAAATGGACTTTGCTGCAAAATGGAGTTTTTAACAAGTCATTACAAAATAGAATCATGTACTTCACTAAGAAGCACTTTTCAAGGGTTTCTGTAAGGCATATGCAGTCATGTTCTTCTTTTTTAATATTTTATTGTGGTTTGGATGAAAGTTTAAGAGGAAATTAATTTCCTATTTAACAATTTATGTACATTTTGTTTTGTCACATTCCTTACAGTCCTCTCAATGCAGCTTCACTCTTCCCACTTCCTCCCTACTTCCCCATTCCCATTCACCCATTTTTCCTGCCTTCTGAAATTTGTTTTTGGGCAAATGCTGCCCTTTTGATCTCCTATGGTTAATTGTTCTGAGGAGCATGTTCCTCGTTAGTGTTACTTTTCACTTTATAGGTCTATCTGTTGTTTGGCAGAAAGGTGGTCTCTGGAAGTGGGCTCAGTTCCAGGTCTGAAGAGTGCCCACAGGCCATACTCAGAGGTTCCACTAGTCTCTATCAGACCAATGAGTCTTGTGTTTTTCATGATTTTCAATTTTGTTCTACATTTTTCTCCCTGTCTGTCCAGGGCCTTCTATTGTGATCCTGATGAGAGCAATTAGTCATAGTAGTCATAGTAGGGCACCATCTAATTCTTCTGGTCTCAGGTTAGTGGAGTCTGTGGTTCATGTGATCCATTAGTCCCTTGGACTCTTTCCTTGAGTCTTTGATTTTCTTCACTCTTCTTTGCCCCAGATGGATATCAGAATCAGTTGGATATCAGAATCAGTTGGATGTCTAAGTTCACAAGCTTAGAAAATCCTAGTTACTACTCACCAAAGTAGAATGTAGAACATTATCTTTATGGATTATATTATGCCATTGACCTAGATGTCCCCTAAGAGAATGGTTCTAAACCTTCAACCAAGTGACTCAAGTCTCTCAAGATGTTTGGATATGGCTAAGAAGTTAGTATAACTTGGCCCCTATCTACTCTGCTATATACCTGGATATGTTAAATGTATGTTATGTATATACAAATATGTATGTTAAAATATCCTCTGGCAAACCTATGTATGTCCGTGGATGTACTTCCATATGCCATCCCGCACTTGTTCAGTTACATATTTACCCATGTATTCACTCATAAATTGTCATTGCTGTTATTGCAGGATTGTGTATGTAATAGTATTTACCATTGCTGCCTTTTACTCCTGTGTACATCCCAGTGTCTTCCTTTGCATTGGTCATGCTGTGCTGACCTCCCTCTTACTGAGTACTGCCTTTTCCTTCACCCAAGTTAATATATGTCTACTGTCTAGTTAGTGTTTTTTTCCCTCCCTCCCCTTCCCATCCTTGGTAACCATCAAAGAATGTTTCTTTCTGTGTATAAACCTTTTCTTGTTTTCTTACAGTAGTGGTCTCATACAGTATTTGCGCTTTCGTAATCGATTTATTTCACTTAGCATACCTCCAGATTCATTGACATTTTGAGATGTTTTACAGATTCATTGTTATTCTTTAACATTGTGTAGTATTCCATTGTGTGTATATACCATAGTTTGTTTATCCATTCATCCGTTGATAGGCACTTAGGTTATTTCCATCTTTTTGCTACTATGAATAATGCTGCAATAAATATGGGTGTGCATGTATCTATTCATGTCGTGGCTCTTATTTCTCTAGAATATGCACCAGGTAGTGGGATTGCTGGATCATACAGTATCTCTTTTTCTGACTTTCTAAAGCAGTGCCATACCATTTTCAACAGTGGTTTTACCGTTTTACAGTCCCACCAGCAGTACATAAGAGTTCTAATCTCTCCACTCCCACACCAGTGTTTGTTGTTTTCTGGTATTTTGATCATTGCTATTATTGCTGTAGTGAGATGATATCTCATTGTTTTGATTTGCATCTCTCTAATGGCTAATAATCATGAGCATTTCTTCATATATTTGTTGGCCATCTAAATGTCTTTGGTAAATTGTCTGCTCATGTCCTTTCCTCATTTTTAATTGGTTTGTTTGTGTTTTTGTTGTTCAGGTGTTGAAGTTTTCCATACATTTTAGAGATTAGACTCTGAATGTAAATCAAATATGTGGTTGCCATAAAATTTTTCCCCATCTGTAGTTTCCCTTTTTACTCTTTTGGAGAAGTTTTTTGATGCACATAAATGCTTAATTTTTAGGAGAGATTTGGCCACTAACCAGAATATCAGTGGTTCAAACCCACCAGATACTCCTTGGAAGGAAGATGAGACAGTATATTTCAATAAAAATTTATAGCCTTAGAAACCCAGTGGGGGTCACTGTGAGTTGGAATCAGCTTGATGCCAGTGAGTTGGGGAGTTTTGAGAGTAATCTAGTTTATCTTCTGCTGTTTGTGACTTTTCAGTTATGTTTGTTAGACTCTACCCAAAACCAAACTGACTGCCATTGAGTTGATTCCAACTCATAGGAACCCCCATTGGGTTTCCGAAGCTGTAAATCTTTACAAAAATAGATTGTCTCATCTTCCTCCCATAGAGCAGCAGGTGGCTTTCAACTGCCAACCTTCTGGTTAGTATCCAAATGTCTTAGGTACTGCACTATCAGAGCTCCTTTTAATAGAGTATATGTGCTATAAATTAGAGCCCCTAAGTTTGCCCCTATTTTTTTCTTCCATGATCTTTATAGTTTTAGGTTTTACATGTAGGTCTTTGATCCATCTTGTGTTAGTTTTTGTGTATGGTGTGAGGTATGGATATTATTTAATTTTTCTGAAAATGGATATCCAGTTTTGCTAGCACCATTTGTTCAAGAGACTATCTTTTCCCCCATTTAATGGATTTCAGCCCCTTGTCAAAGATCACCTATCCATAGATGGATGAATTTACTAGTGACTTCTTAATTTTGTTCCACTGTTCTGTCTGTCTGTTATTGTACCAATATAAGGCTATTTTGAGTACCATGACTCATGGTACATGTCCTACTTTGTTCTTCATTAGTTCTTTGCTTATCTGAGGCCTCTTTCATTTCCACATAAAGTCAATGATTAATTTTTCCATCTCTTTAAAGAATGTTGGTAGAATCTGGTTTGGGATTGCATGATAACTATAGATTGCTTTGGGTAGTATTGACATTTTCACAATGTTAAGTCTTCCTATCCTTAAGCAAGATATGTTCTTCCATTTATGTAGATCTCTTCTGGTTTCTTGAAGTAGTGTTTTGTAGTTTTCTTTGTAAAAGTCTTTTACATTCCTTGTTAGGTTTGTTCCTATGTTTTTCATCTTTTTGGTGGTTACTATAAATGCCATTGTTTTCCTGATTTGCTTTTTAGAGTTCTCTTTGTTAGTGTAGAGAAATCTGGTTGATTTTTTATGTTGATCTTGTACCCTGCCACTTTGCTGAATCCTTCTGTTTGTGTAGAAATTCTGGGATTATTTTTTTTTTTTTTTTTTATTTCTAGGACCATATTCATCTGCATATAGGGATAGTTTTGTTTCTTCCTTACCAATTTGGATACCTTTTATTTCCTTTTCTTGCCTTATAGCTCTGGCTAGAACTTCCAGTACAATATTTAATAAGAGTGATGATAAAGAGTATCCTTGTCTGGTTCCCATTCTCAAGAGGATTGCTTCCTGTCTCTTTCCACTGAGAATACTGTTGGCTGCTGGTTTTGTGTATATGCCCTTGATTATGTTGAGGATTTTTCCTATTCCTATATTGCTCAGACTTTTTATCAGGAATGATGTTGGATTTTATCAGATGCCTTTTCTGTATTGATTAATATGATCATGTAGGTTTTTTCCTTAGTTTTACTTACATGGTGGATTACCTTGATTGAT